TGTCTCTGTGTATCTGCTCCGCTCCTCCGTGTAGTTCTAGTTCGGCCATAGCCTTCAAAAAGTTTTCCCCGCTTTTCCTCCGCAAACACAAGACAAATGTGCGTAAACAGTCACCCGGGGGGCTGTTTTTCCACTCGACGTTGAAGGAGGGGGAAAGGACTTTTGAAATGAGCCAGGACTGTGTCACTGGCTGATAACGTTTAATGGATTGCTGGGGACTCTCAGCCGGCGACAGAGGCATTTGCTTTTTGTTTATTTTTTGCTGCCTAGGCCTGGGCAATGAAGACATTAAAATATTAATGTGCAGCATAAATCAGCAGGGGGAGCAGAGGGATATGGAAACGAGTCGGCAGGGGAATAAAATACGTTCCTGAAAAGTTTTTCGTCTAAACTTTTATAGTGATAGAAGCTTGGTCAGTCAAAGTTTTTATGTTCAATAATTGTTTGAGTGAAAAATATTGACCTCTATTTCGTTCTTTAAACATGTGTTAAGTTGGGTGAAAATAATATTTCTCTATATATTTTAGATTAGATACAAATTTCATATTAAGGCCTTGGTTTTTCCCCCTTTACTCCCAAAAAATATTATGCTAAGGGCCTTTCCGCTTCGCGGAACACTAAAAACCATTACATTTTCCTGAAGATTCCATGGAAAATATTCTGTCTCAAGTCTTTCTGTCGCACAAAAATATCAAAAACAAAGCCAACACTTTTCGGTCTCTGACAGCTGTGAGATATGCAAAGGAAAGTTGACGAGCAGCCCGCAAATTACTCACACACGCACACTCGAGTGCGCCGTATCACCCATACTACCCATACCACCCATTCCTTCAATCCCTCAGTATGGTTGCCAAGTCAACAAACAAATTAATTACAGTCTGTCTCAATAGTTCGCCACATGTATTTGGGGGCCACACTCACACGTCTCGCACGCCTGTCAACAGAGCTTAGCACGCTTTGACAAAATTAAATGCAAAACTCATTATGAAATGTTAATAGCAAGCTGCTGCTGTTGGATAGTAGTACTACAGTTGATGTTGTTGTTGTTGCCGCTGCTTTTGTGGTTTTACAAAACATATTAATTAGCATTAAATAATTAAAATGTGCTCGCCGCTTAACGTCATTCATTTTAATCAGTTTTAGTCCCTCGCTGGTTTTTGCGGCTTCAGTAAGTTTCTGCGGATGAAATATGGAGAGATAGGGGGCTCATTAAACGTTAGTTATTAAAAAAATAAACAAATACGCTATTTAATGGGCTGAATTTATTTGCATATGTAGCGCGGCTTACGAAGCGATTGGCTTTGATTTAGGGCCGGTTTCTCGAGTCCCTGTCAAAGTCCCTGATAGCTATCTGTTCGAAAAACTTAAATACCAGATAAACTGTTCGTAAAAGCAAACCGCTTTCTCGACTGCTTTAATTTATCTGAACGAGAAACAATTACAGAGTGCTGTTGGCTTTGGGAAATCAGCTGTCATTCTATCGAGTCGAAAACGCTTAACAGGGACTCCGAGTCCCTGTCAAAGTTAGCTCTCACATTTATGCTCGAGAAAGCCAAAATGCCTTAGCAGGGACTTTATCTGTTCGAGAAATGTTAGCCGGCACTCGAGAAACCGGCCCTTAAGAGTTTCCAGTTGAGACTGCAAACAACTCGGCGTATACTTAATTAAAAGACCCTTGGGGTCCACGGTCTTGCAGAGCTTTTGCTTTAGATGTAGATTAAGCGTTTGTTTATTTGTGAATTTGCTTTAGGGTATTGTTTTACACGAAGCAACAGAATTAATTAGCCAGGTGTTATTAATGAAAATAAAAGCTAACTATTAAAACATATATTTTTCAATCAGTCGAAAAGGATTATACACACATTTATATTTCTCGCCACTCTATAAGCCGCAAATCCATTCAGGATCAAGACTTGACAGTTCCAATCAAAAAGAGAAAATTACCAAAGAATTCCAAAAATAATATTGCTTTGATGCTGCATCGACAATGCATTTATTTTTATTTATTTACACGTTTTTTGTTGGCCAAAAATTTAATTCCATCCAGCGCAGCCCCCGCAGAGGCTTTGTTGATGCCCGAATGGCAAATTGTTGTTTACCAACAGTGCGGGGCATAAATATAAATCCGCATGCGACTACGGCGATGAGATTGCCTCCCGGGCACTTAGCCGTATTGGTTTGGATTGGTGTGGTTCGGTTGCCTGGCAGCCACAGCCGCCAACTGTTCTGGGTTCTCATTCCGATTCGGATTCGGGCTCTGATTTGGTTTCTGCTTCTGCAATTTGCTTAAAAGTCTAAAAATTGCATGAAAACTCACAGCTATTGTTGCACAGCAAAGTGGTAAACAAATATGCGTGCCAAAAAGTGCGGGCTTTAAGTAAATAGATAGGCTGGAATGTTTTTTGTATAGCCTATAATATACACATCCCTTACTCAAGTGCTCTAATATATTTTAGGAAATATTTAAAATAATGCTTATTATTTTTTATTTATTTGAGGATTTCAAAGCTGCGACAAATTTTAAAATTTTTACATTTACTTAAGTGCTTTAATAAATATTTTAGGTTATTTATAAACTATTTCTTAATATAATTTCTTTATTAAATATTACCACAAACTTAAAACGATTACACTAATTCTTTTATTTTTACATTAGTAAAGTATAAAATACAACATTTCAATAAAAAGTGTATTTTTGTGTTAAATTCTTGACTTTCTGTTTAATAAAGTTAAAAGAAATACTCCATGCAGCTCAACTTCGATTCGTTGCAATCGGATTGGGGGAAACATTCGTTTGTCACGTCCCACTTTATTTAGAATTTGTTTTCAGCCGATGGCAAAAACAATTTAAATTTTGTCTCTGCTGGCAGCGAACAAATGAAAATAAAATAAAAATGTCGAATCGAAGCGATGCTGATGTCGTTGGCGATGCCAGAGCAAATCGAAATCAAATCGAAATGTAATCGCGCGCACCAAAGCCAAAGCCGAAAGCAATCGCATTATCGCCACATTGGCGTGAAAGTGCCACGCCCCACGCCCCCTTTTCCACGGTTAACCCTCACGCACGTTGCATACATATTTAACCCTCCACCTCCCCCGATATTTATAGTCAGCTCATATTTATGGTTACAATATTTGCCTTTAACCGGAAATCGATGAAATTTTTATGCCTTCGGCTTGGCGCCCTTTTATTTTATTTATGTGTGCGGGAGTGTGCGTTTGGCAAAAATATTTGTTGTGGTCCTGGGGTTTTCCATTTCCAACCGCAGGCCAAAGTATTTGCACTCGGCTTGATTTTCCAATTTTTTCCCGCTCTGTTTTCTCCGTTCGCTCATCGAATTTAGGCAATTTAGCGGCCTAACTAAATCGTTTTGGTTGCTCATGAATTTATACGTTTTGTTTGTGCAGCGCATGCAAAAATTTCTGACATATTAATATGCGTAGGAATGGAATGGACATTGTACCTTATTTCCTTATATGCGAGTATATCTCCCCCTTCGCTTTCGGTATGGGATATAGGACCATAAAACTCAAACTTATTTTGGTCCAGAAATTGCCTGCGAGGGTGTCGATGTTAGTGGCCGAAAAATATTTATATTGTTTTGTCATTTTAGTAGGATTTACGAGGCCCAATTTGCGGTTTGATATATAACTTTGCTTGTTGAAAATTGGCCACGCCGCAAAAAGATAAACTAAGGGTCGAACTTTGTATTATAGGCTAAGAAGGTATTTTTCTTGTATGCTAAATACAAGACTTTTCTGAAAACCAATCAGTTTTGTAAGGCTTTAGGGTAGCTTCTAATATGATAACGACGACATAGTCATTACAGTATTAATTGAATCGCAATTATCTTCAATTAATTAACCTCCTTGCACCCTTTATAAAGTTCCATAGAAATTTCAACTAAAATCTAACAAAGCGAGCTAATGCCTATATCGTTTATAGTTTTCTCCACCCTCTTCCTGCGCCTGCTACTGACAATTGAAAGCTTTCAAGTCACTTTGCACAACACAATTTCCTTGGCATTGTTAGAAATCATAGAATTAACTCGCTGTGAAAACGCTCTTTTCTACCCATTTTCCTACTCTCCGGTTATTGCTGTCTCACAATTATGTGACAATTTCATTGATTACTGGGGAACGCTGAAATCTCCGTTGCACTTGGCACACCAAATAATGACAACCAAATTGCCGTCACGTATTAGAGCTGTATTATAGATTGCCAGCCGCGAACAATGGCGAAGGATTTCGAGCGTGAATTTTAACTCCCGACTGCAATTGCAGGAGAATGCAGCATAAAGTGTCCAGATTTTGGATTTCAGAATCCAGCAACCAGCTAATGGCTATCCCTTCGATGAGGATGATCACGCTGCGAGGCTGAGCCCGAAGATGATGATGATGATGATGAATGGTTCGTTTGTTGGTTTGGGGCCAAATCCTGGACCTGGCACGTGCCCTGCTCCTCCTTGCATTGTTCTCGAGCTCCGCTTCCGAACTTGCCGCAGTTATATTTCATATTTTACACACAAAGAAAACAATACAAGAAGTGTGTTTTAATGTGATTGTATTTTATTAAGAAATATATCATAATATATTGACTGCTACCTAAGTCTTAAGTCCTTTGCACTTTGAATTCCAATGATAAAGCTTTATTTTCGCTAAGGTTAGGCTCTAAGCAGTGTTACCTTACCACAACTAATAAAAAGCAAGTATTAGTGTAACCATGCATAACAAAATTACACGAAACTTGGGATATTTAAATTAATATTTAATGGACGAATGGTGATTATATTAAAATGTATAGATAAATGCCGAAAGATACATTTCATTTTATTTTTCTTAGTGCATTCCTGCTTTCACAGCTCAATTCATTGCAGCTCCGGTGTCCCTCTTGCAGTAATCTGAATTGCTTTCCCACTTTTTCATGGCTTTGACTCCGTCTCTGGCTTTTGGCTGCAATCTTCAGCGCCAGAATTTTTACCTGCATGGAATTTGAAATCATGTGGGGATCCTGGCTGGCGGAGGACTGGGCTCCCGAGGTCCTGGGTCACGTAAGCGGTCTTACTTTGTCACTGGCCGGGGCGGGCCAGTTCAATCATTTACTGTCATTTACTGCCTTAGTTACCTGTCCTGCGGCGTCTTCCAATATTGCAAAAGAAAAAATAATAGAGGTAAACTCCAGCAACTTTAAGCACGAGTGCGCTTATTTCATGTGTTCTGGGGGAATTCCACTTCGCCAATACCTGACTGGCATGGCCAAGTAAATGTCACAAATCCATATAGACAAATTGATTTTAATTGCAAATAAACATGCTCGGCATTTAGGGCATTTATTAGATGAAGACTTATGAAGGCAAGTAGATACACTGATTCTTGGATTGACTATTTATTAGATTTTATATCTGTACTTATATAGCTTTTTTAATTACATTGAGCCTTTTATTTATATTTAACCATACTACAAAATTGTACAAGTAAACGATAGACTCTTTTCCGTAAAACAACTTCCCATCCAAACACCATTTAATCTGAGAATCTTTGTTTACCACCAAGAGTCAACGAGTCTAGTTCTTGTACTAATGTTGGCGAAATTAAAATAAATACTTCGCTGGGTGTTCGAGACTTTGTCAGCCTCCCCTCGCTTCCTGTTATGGATGACATGAGTAAATTTCAAATCCACGACAACTCTTTGCACTCCGAGGACAAGTCTTTGCGTTTGCCAGACGTGCTGATGGCAATGCATCCGCTTGCCAGGACATCCAGCCACCAGCTGCTGCCACGCCCTCTCTTCTGCCGCCGCCCCCGCTTTGTTTGCTGTGGAAATGAATTTCTAATACAAAAATTGCATTGAAAAGAGCTGCGACGCCTGCTGGTCGCTTTTGGCTTTTGCGTCAAGGGCTAACAATTGTTTTGGCAAACGTTGCCAACACTTGCGGGGCTACGAACGGAATGGGGCCGAAAGTGGGCTAAGGGTGGGGGCTGGAAAGAGGGCGGTGGCTTCGGCACGCATATGGCCCAAAGGCCGGAAGTGGTTCGCGTGTGTGTGCCCCCGCGGAGAAAAGGAGCTGCAGCAGAAGCAGACGCAGATCTTGGCTCCTTTGGGCTCCTCGGTGTCCCTTCGCTCCCATTTTTACCCCTCGACTTCTCACACGGTACACACTTCACGCTGGGCATGCAAAATGCACGTCTAATACAATGCAAAATGCAAAACGCCAGGCAAACCAGCACACAACAAGAAAGCAGAAGGAGCAAAGGAAAGGGTAGCAGTACACTTACCGAAAAAATTCCATTGAAATATAAAGATAGCTATGAGGTAAGGAAAACTGGAATAAAATGTCTGGTAAACGGTTTTCAAAATTGCAAATTAACATTGAAATAAAGGTTTCTTATAGTGACTTTTTACCAAAATATGGAATTTAGTTTGAAAATTCTAGAATATTTAAAAAAAATTCTAACTTTTTTTTCTGAGTGTCCCGCTTGGAATGGGTCTCTGAAAAAATGGGTTTGCTCACATACAAACACGAAAAACAGGAAATTGAATTTTCGACTTTGGCAAGTGTGCGTGCCAGGAAAGAGGAACCAGTTGCAGAAGCAGAGGCAGCAGCACAGGAACAACTTATGCCCCGACACTTGTGTGTAATGCGGATAGCTCCTGCTCCTTCTGCTCCTGCTGCTGCTGTGCAGTTTGCTCCTGGGCTGCGGCAACTATTGCCAACGCAGGACGAGAAGTCCTGAAGTCCTGACACTGGCAGCGCCTCGTTTTGCATACCAAGCGGGCGAACATAGAGCTCGACTTGTGCCGGCGGAAACGAAATATTTAACAACAAAGCAAACACTCGCACACACTCGCAGATAAACGGGCATTTGTGTGCGCTGCATAATTGAGTGGGCGTGGCTGGCGTCGCAAGTTTAACTTTAATTTGCCGGCTTTCATCTGACTTTGTTGTCGAGCGCCGCAGAACTAAGCTCAAATTAATAGCCAGCGATCCAAGCCCCGCGGCCGCCCCCGGCCACCGAACTCGAACCCTTTAACCGCCCCTCGCTTAGTCGGCAGCTCAATGACTTATCATATACAAATTACAAGAGTCTTGCTTCCAGTCAGCGCCACGCCCACCGCCCTCAGTTTAGAGCCATTAGCGATGGGGAATATTGTGAAGCGGGAAATGCATTTAAAATTAATTCTTTTTGTGAACTTCAAATAAAATATGTTTTAAATAAAGAAAAGAACTAAACTTTAGTTGATTGTAGAATCGAAGTTTCTTCCTCCATTTAAAATTGAAAAAAGGCTATATATTACCATTTTTTGTTATGTTTCTCAGTTCTATAGGTAACTGAGTTCTACTGATTTCTACTGATTTCAATAATAATTTGGATCAAAGTTTTAAATGTGGGCCAAAACAGTTGTATAATTTCTTATGATATGATATTTAAAAAGAGAGTTTGTCTTTCTAGACAAACAAACTGTTTCCCATTATGATTTGATATTTAAAAAGATAGTTTGTCTTTTTTATACAAGAAATATATATAATCTTTCAAACAAACTGTTTCCCATTAAACTCTACTACCACTTAGCAAACTCTATCCGAATAAATCATGCTTCCATCTCTAAGACTTCTCACATACCATACGCCCGCCCCATCCCAAGCATAGACAAAAGTCAAAAAGTTACAATTTACGCTTGTAAATTGCTTTAAAAACTTCTCTTCGGTTGCTATCTGCTGCTACAATTTTGCTAATTAACTCAACGCTCAAGTTTTGGGGACAAATCCACCCCCCGAAATAACATCCCCAAATCCTCTTTCAGCGGAAAAGACACCCGGACCCCGAAAACCTTCCCTCAACCCTCGACAATTCGCGTCTGTCGCTAATTTCGCTAATCAAAGCGCGGGGCATCCCCTTCTTGTGAGAAAAGGGAAAAGCGATGGGGAAAAACATTACTTCGATTTTATTAAACGGGATGCTGGGGGGAGGGAATGGGATATTTTTGAAAGGGACCGGCAATAATTTGCCAAAAATGAAAACAATATCCAGAACAACAACAATAAATTTAGAACTTTTCTTAATGGTAAAGCGAACCAAAACTCTGCCGAGGAAATGAGTTTTTTCCTCCTTTTTTGGGAGATAATTAGTAGCGTTGTTTAAGGGCAGAGCAAAAAATAAGAAAGCGGAATCGCTAGCTGACCCGGGTTATGGTTATTGCCCGGGCACGTGCCACCCTTCTGGGGGCCCGGGTTCCCCAAATATCACACACAAAATGAAGAGCTCGCGGCATTAAGTCCCCGAGAGTCGATAATGTCGCGGCATGGCCACAAGAGCAAACACAACAAGCCAGGCAAAAAAGGCAAGGCAAGGGAAAAATGAAAACCTCCACTGAGAGAACATCAACATTTCTTTGGAAAATTTAAAAATGTTTTAAAACAGATAACTAAAACAAAACGTATACTTTAAATTTATTGATTAACTTAACATTGAATAACATCAAAAAATATAATAACTTTATAACTTTATTTATATTCAAAGTATTACCCATATATATTACTGATTAACTTAACATTGAATATATATTACTTGTTCAAAATTCACTTTATTTAATTTTTTGATTCATTTGTAAACGAAAATATAACTTTAATTTTCCAGTGCACTGATGAAAAAAGAGGAAAGCCAGCCAGCACAACCTTCTGGAGAAAAACTAATAACCAAAAATTGGGTAGGAAGCGGAATCGGACTCGGGGAGTCCGGAGATTTGAGAACTGGATGCCGGCGTCGAGCGCCAAAACTCATAAAATTCAAGCCATTGAGTTTTCGAAATCGCTTCGGGCTTCATTTCGATTGCCCCACACCCCTCGATGTCCTTTTGGCCTCTTGACTTTCTGTCGCTCTGCTCCTCGTTGTTTGGCCATTTAAATTCGTTACGTTTCGATTGCCGTGAATATGCAGTCAACTTTATAAAATTTATAGTTTAATCTGATAGATAGGAAATTGCTTTGTTTTGGCCCTGGCTCGCAAATGGGATGGCATGGGATTCGCAAGCGGCGAGAGGCAGTGAAAAGCTGCAAAATATGAATGGGATTTGGGATAGGGAGGGAGGCTTTGCCAATGCCAAGGCAGCACTTTAAAGCTTTCGACTCAGCCGATAAAAAGATAAACCCGAAAATTTATGGGAGCAAATAGAAGTTGCAGGATACCATGGCTTACGTACAAGTCGAATTTAAAGAACTCTATTTTTTTATACACAATATTTGTAAAGGTTTTAAACAAACAGATGGTGCAAAAATTCCAATTATTATATTTGCAATAAAATAAGCCATAGTCCTAAATTTTAATTAGTAGTTATAAGGAAATTAAAATATTCGGGGATGCTCTGTAAAAATAAATTTATTTTATTGTATATCTCTCTAATTTTATATCTCTCATATACTCACATCCTTTAAAACTTTGGTAACACCCTTTCTGTCTGATGAAATGAAGATATTTTTGTTTCCCCAACACCCTTTAAGCCCATAAAAGATGCTGTATCTTTGTGTTTGTTATATCCTTTGGATTACAAAACGAAGAGCCCCACACAAACATTGTTTAGGATATCCACCCATGTGCTTTCCAGGCAATTGCCTAATTAAATTTAATATCGAATGTCGTAAAACGAAATTTCAATAAGCACGAGACAACAGAAAGGTGGGGTCGTTGGAATATTTGCATCCCTTTTCCTGTGCCCATCGAGGCTTTAATAATATTTCGATATCACCGGACAGCTCGGGAGTTAATAACACGGTCAAATATTCCGGCCAGGTCAGTATTAAAATCATGCGGTTCATTGACCAACATCTCCGCGTCGCTTTCAATATCAAAAGTGGAAGTGGAAGTGCTGGGAAAACAGAACCCAACCGGTAGGCGGGTGGTCGTCATCTTTGGCTGTTGACTCAGTGAAGGACATTCGGTGATATAAGTGCACTAAAGAAAATTTTGTTTTATTCATAACATTTTTCCAAAAGCTTCCACATTATTTTTAGAAAAAATGGTATAGTATTCTATTAAAAAAAGTTTTTATGATGTTGGCATATTAGGTATTGCAATGTTAGGTATTCACCTCGATTATTTTTCTGAGTGTGCAACAAAGCGTGGACATCGAGGAACTCTGAAGCGGACATTTCGACAAGAGGCTTTGATGTTTGCTTAGTCCATCACAGGCGAACAGGTTGAGCCATCGAAAACCGAATCGTACTGGACCGACTTTTGACAACTCGACTCGTCATCATCATTTTCATCATCGTTGGACTTTGACCACCGCTCGAGATACATAGAGATATATAAGGCCAGATACGAATATATGTCAATGACGCTGCAAGCGCAGCTTGTTTGTTCTTATCCTTCGGCACTCATATAAAGTTTGTTTGCGGATTTGTGCAGCGCAATATGTCATTGCTGCCTCTTTAGGCCATCGACTTGGATGTGGATGTGGATGTGGATGTGAATATGGAGGGGGCAGCGGCGACCACGCTTAATGGCAATGTACGTTCAAGTAAACACACCCTGCACACCCACATGCATGGCACACTTGTGTGTTGGCGAGGGTAGATCGGTAAAATATTCCTTTATATTAATATTTTAAATTAGAAATGGAAAAAAAGTCCTAATTTGTAATAATAACTACATTTTTAATTCCCATTTTGGATTATTTTTAATCCATAACTTAATAAGCATAAACTGATCATTTTCAAAAAATAAATAAGTAAAGAAACCAATCGCATTTTGTATAAAAGTTACGATTTTGATCACGATTTAATTTAATACATTTTTTTGAAAGTGAAAAAAAGCTGAACAATTTCTGTAAACTCTTGAGACCGCCCTCTCATGTGTGCATATGCAGTTCAGTGTGCACGACGTCGACGTCGACTAACAAATCCTTTTGGCATTATAAACATTATTAAAATTTCATGTTTCCTGCTACGAGCGACATCCCCGACCTGCCTTGGCCCGCCGCCCCCTAGTCGCTCTATCTCTATCGCTCTCCGCCGAATCGCCGCCCACTCAAAACGCAAACGTAACGAAACATGAAGCTCGAAACATGGAAGGCCGAGAAGTGGACTAGGACGAGGACGAGGCTTTGGGTCCGTATATAGCTCTCGGAATATCCTGACCAGCGAGGCCCTGTACCCGTACCCCTAAGAGGTTCTCCACCACCGCCTCCCTGGCCATAAGGCTGTCTAGCCTTACTTATTTGCAGCATGCTTCATGCTTTATGGTTACTTGGTCAAGGGCCTTTCATGCTCTCCAACACACACATACGCATCCTGACTTAAGCTCACACATGCCACACACACGCACATATGCAAACACCCATAAAGACCGAGACACGAAATGCATGAAATTTTGCGCCGTAAATCGTTAAAATGATTTTATTTAAGTAAATATGCAAAAATGCTTTTGTTAGACTCGCAGCATTATGTCCGGGGTCAGAACTGGATCCGTTAATATCCGGAATTTAATTTGAAAATTTAACAATCCACATAAAAGAGAGATGCGAGCGGGGAGTAGGTAAATATTTAATACTGAATGTGCTTTATTTTACGACTGGTCTGGTTCGGGGTCCACATGTCGCATGCGGAATCTCTGATGATAAATCTCAAAGAGAGATGTGGGAGATGGAAATAGTGCCGTGAATAATGTCTTATTTATGCAAATCAAAGACACTGTTTAAGGAGGGAGACGAAGTGACCCATTTATCAAAACTGAGGTAAATATATTATGATGAGATTCTTTCTTGACAAAAGGTAAGGAATACGATAAAAATACTGTTAAAACGACTAGAATAATAATATTAAATAAAGTACATATTAGCTATTATTTATATTGCAAATTTTTAAAAATAGGCTCAAATATTATTACATAAGTTACGGTAAAAGAGATATATATTTTCAGATAAGATCAAAAATAAATAAACAAAATTATTCCACTTATAATTTCAACCAATTGAATTTTCAAGCCAAAGTTCGCGAAAGCCGTTTGACCTTTGCTCTCGTCTCGGTCGAATCGTGGGGTCCAAAACCTTTTAAACATTTGCGAAACTCCTCCAGGTCATTGTTATGGCAACTTCTTCCCTGCAATAGCTTTGCAATTTTCTTGCCAACTCAGAAACTTCAGCTGCGGCAAAGGCTTTTCTCCTAACTAGCTGTTCAGCGTGGGTGGAAAATGGGAAAATACCGTGGGTGGGCTAGGGCTAGAACTGGGAAGTCTCTCCTGGCTGGCTAAACCCAAACGCACTTAACACTTGCCACCGAGTTTTGCGTAACTTTTGCGCCCGGAATCCGACGAACTACTTTCGTACCTGGGCAGGGGGGAATAAAATCTACTTCAGTGCGTCACGTAGGCGCTTCAAAGTTTTCATTTTTGCAAAATTTACGATTTAACGTTAAAGTGGAGCAAAACAAAAAAAACCCTATATATTCCGTTCGCTGTACATATACGTATGTACTACTTAAAAGAATGGCAAACTTTGAACACGACCGAAATCCCACTAAGTAAGTGTACGCCCAGTTCAGCCCGGTTCAGGTTCCGGGAATATCCTCCGGGTTAGCCATGTTCTCCGGGCTCTCCGGCCGGGTTCAGCTGCACGTACTTTGGATTTTGTTGCGTCTCCTTCTTTATTGCACTTAAGATTTACTCATCAGCAGGTGTGCCCGTGCCCGGGTGGCTTCCATCTCCCACCCCTCGTCTTCTAGCCCCGAAACCGGAATCTACGATTGAATTTCAGACAGTATACGGCAAGCAACCACCCAAAACCACCATCCGGCGGCCAAGGAAAACGCAAAGGCTTTTGCAATTTTTATGTGCAATTTTTTACATGAGAACCAAAGGCGGTATGAGAGTGTCGCTTGTGGCTCGTTAAGGTTAAGGGGTGGTGGGTGGTTTTTTTTTTTTTTTTTTTTGGGGTGCGGGCTAGCAGTTGGGATGCCACTGATAGCTGGAGAGTGGATTAGTCTCTGGGTATCGTTTGCAGCGGATAAGAAAGACCCAGCTCAAAATCTTATAAAATATTGAAAGGTTCGGTTTTTCTGAAGTTAAAAGTAGTTTGCAAAACAAACTTAAAGGGAAAAAAGGTTAATTACATTCACTACTAAAACAGAATGAATATTCTTAAAGAATTCAGCAAATAATATAATTAGGATTCATACGTTAAGATTCGTACGCCCCACGTTGGGCGCCAAAAAAGTTAACCAAAAATTTCCTTTCACACTATTATATGGACATGGCATTGCAGCCCTAATTGAAATTCAAAAAGGTCTCACATACCTCACACCTGATGGCATTCCTAGAGGGTATTGAACACTGGATCTCGGCACATTTTTGCTATGATTTAGTGTGCACCACCTGCCGAATCATGGCCTCCCTGCGCCCGCAAATACAATTTAAATTTTTAAGCGGCATCTACTTTGGACACGCCTTGGCCTGGGATTCGTGTCACGCAGCCTCGACGGGTGGCAGCGTCATCAGCATCCCGCCCTCTCCTGGCACCCCACCATCAGCATTGAAGCATCAGCATGTTGTCCTTTGGCTTCGCTTTTCCCATTTTTTTTTGCCAGGGAGCTCTTTGTTGAATGTTGCAATTTCAACCCGTTGATGGATTTGATGGTTTTTTCCTTGTGCACTTGGCAAAATTCCGTAAATATTAAGATAGATATTAGTAAGTCTATTTTGAAAATTGAAAAAAGATCTTGGTTTTTATTTTATTTTCAAATCCAACCATTTTAATACACACCATTTTTTAAAAGTTGGTTCATTAAAATAAAAATAAGATGAAACTTTCCATCCTGCTAAGAATCCATTTTGGCAAGTGCATCTATGTGTCCTGGTAGCGGCTGCAAAATCAGCGCAAATCAGTGGCAAAAAGGGACCGAGGACGGCAAAGGGGGCGGAACAAACGCAAATTGATGACACCCGCAGCGTCCTGTCTGTCATTGATACTTGCAAAAATGCTTCTTTACATGTCGCACGCACACGCTGCGCTGAAATGACACTAAATTTGGTTGATTAGATGCCCGCCAAACAACAAATCGGATTTGGCAGCCTGCCCCCCAAAAGTTCCAGAATCACCGGTTCTCTTTACCCTGGAAATATATTGTACATCGTTCTCATTGTCGGCGCATACGCCGCGTAATCAATGGTACTATAGAATCCGCATTAGACTCAGTGTGTTTGAAAAGCCTTTGGCCAAAATAAGGACCTAAAGTTCTTTAAATTTTATTTTCAAAATACATTTGAATATATTTAAAGCCAATCAACAAATAATAAAATTAATTCTGATTGAAATTAATTGTGTTGGCAGTCACCCTTTGCCGGCTCAATATTTTTACATTTTACTACCAATTTTCCAAATCCATTTTCATTTTTTGTGTGTGTAAAATGCAGTTTGATTTATTTTTAGCAGAAATTCTAGGTTTAAATCCCATTAAATATAAAAAAATGTTGTGAACTCAAAAAGCTTTTCAACTTTTGGTACCTCAATATTTTTACATTTTCACAGCCAATTTTCCTAATCCATTTCCATTATATGCTTGTGATAATTTCGTTTGATGGGTAACCCTACTCGGAAGCAGACGTGTTTTCTTTTTTTGTCGTTTTCGGTGGTCCCATCAAAAGTTCCGCTTTCGCGGCGTTTTATGTACCAGTTAACGTCAGCCTAATTGACAAATCTGCGCTTAACAAGCAAACGCAATCTGCTGCAACGCTCACATAGATAGATCCTCATAGACGGCGAGTTTTGGGGGCAAATGCAAACGGCTGTCTGGTGGGGGCATATAAATTAACACAAGTATTTTTACCTGGGCCACACCCGCCATGCAGAATGCATGCTAACAACCACTTAGCGCACACACACCACCCACTTACCCACCACTTGCACCACTTCCCTCTTTTTGGATCCCCGCCAATGATGAACAACTATTAAAGAAATTACGAGCTGATTCAAACGCTGGGTGTCGGAGGGATTCGAATGGGGGATTCGGATGGGGGTTACACGGAACTGGAAGCCATTGGGGTTGCGTTTTATTTGCAACAATTTGACGCAAGTTGAAATGCATGCGGGTGCGTTAAAAGTTGCCGAATTTCGAAATTTTAAGTGAGCTGCTCGAACACTAGAAAAAAATATATAATAATATAAAATTAATATGTAGAATCCTCTTTTAAAATATATTTTAGCTAAAAGTCAGATAAATTGTATATCAAATGCTTGAAAAGTAAAACGAAACACTCTTAAATTTTCATCTTTAAATTGAGTAAAATTTTATTTGTTAAAGTTTTTTGGTCTTTGAGTTTTGGGATAGAAGAATTGTAATTTTATAATAATTATATTTTGGTACGAGAATATTTAAATGTATTCAGAATAATATAAAAAGAAGCTGTACATTTCAGTGGGAATTAGTTAAATACTTTTCTCTAAATATGCATATAAATTTTTGAGAAACTCTGGGATTATGTCTTGAATACATACTTAGCTGAGTAAATTAATAAGCTTTTCTTCCAAGTGCACTTTCCGTTTAACGCAAAACTCGGATCTCCCGCATACGGGAAACTTTGCTGCGCGACAGCCTGTGTAAATAGTTGTCTATCGAGGGGGCTAGAAACAGATACCATACGATCCGCGGGGAGCTGAGGAGTCGGGACTGGCATAATATGCCCCCAGTGAGTCGGCCAGACTGACAACCCAGACCCGAATGAAGCGCCGGCCTCAATCAAAGTTGGGCGTATAATGATTGTGCCCACAAAAAGCCAGCAGGATAAAGTTTTTCGCACAAGCGGTTGCATCTTTGCATCTTCATCTCCATCTCCATCTTTGTCTTAACCAGCAGTTTTAATTTCGCCACAAGGCGACGCGACGCTGCCGAGCGCATCTTCAATGAAATTTTAAACAAATAAAATGGCTTCGACTGCGCCTTCGTCTTCGACTTAATGATGTGGCTGCCACCCCGCCGTTGGCCTCGCACTTAAATTAGTTTCTGCCAAAAAAGCCAAGGAGAAGAAAGTATAACAAGAAAGGAATTCTGGTCTTAGACTTTGGTCTTGGGTAGCGCCTTGTTTGGCTTACACTGTGTAGCAAATTGATTAGGAAAAAGGAGCTCTTTACCAAGTAAATATATACTAAAATAATTATAATGTATGTATATTCTATTTGAAAGTTTTAGTTTATTTTCTTCTAAGCAGATTAGTTCATTTTGTATTTTAATATTATGCATCCAATTAATAGCAAGGGATTTTTCTACACGGTCTTAAATTTGCAGAAATATAAAATTGCCTTTGGAAATTCTATAGATTTTCTAAAAGAACTTGATATGTTACTCAGTCTCTACATACATTTGCATCTAAAAACCTGAGCTAAGTTGGTTTACAAATTAATTTTTGTTGACCACTATTTGATATTTGCGTTGAGTGGGAAAAACTTTGCTGCACCCAAAAAAAAAATCCTGAGTGTCAATTTAATAACTGTGGGTTAAAATGACACTGCCCCTAGGATCAAATTTTTGGGGTCAATTTGCTCCCAAATGAGTGTCAAAAGTACACCGCGTTTTCAGAAAAATTGTATTTGATACTAAAATAGTGTCATTTTGATAAAACTAGGTTCACATCGATCCCAATAATTATCATTTTTGATTTTCGAAGTTCGAAGTTCGGCGATGTTTTACTCGAGTATCGATATCGTTTATACTTGTCAAGAGTTCGCTCGCGCGCAAAATGGTTCGATGGCCCAGTTGGTAAGGCGTCTGCCTCTGATGCGAGAGGTCCCCGGTTCGAAACCCAGAAAAATCAGAGCAGGTAAAAAGTTTTTAAAATGCATATATATCATTTTAAGAACAAAAATGTTAAGTTGTGTTAGATTACTGATAAAAAAAAAAAATAATGGTGTTGCGTGCGGGATTCGAACCTCGTTCCGCCGAGCACAAAATAATATCAGAACCTAGCGCCTTGGCCCCTGAGCCATGCCCATATTAATTTTTGCCGTGGCAGAATGGTTACAGGAGCTTTCAAGCAAATGTCAAATTTTATTTAATACTAAGAAAATGACACCGGCTAGTGGCTCTTTGACACCAAAAAGGGTCAAATTAATATTTTCGAAAGTATTAAAGTGACACCAAAATAGGGTCAATTTAATGACGTTCGGATCAAAGATTTTTTTCCACTCAATAGTGTCACATTGACACCTAAATAGGGGCATATTGATGACTACTTTTTTTTGGGTGTGCTCTTATAATAACCCCTGAAATATCAACAGCATTAGGAGTCTTTAAACTTGCCCCTCATGGCTGAGTCAGCTTAATGAATGCAACCCTATTGGCGCTTTAGAGTCGTGGCCCGGGCCAAGCCGATATTTCAGTCCGATTTGCTGGCCGAGCCCCTGGCTGCAACTTAAATTGGAACTGCTTCCGGCGGCTTTAAATACCGTTAGTCACGCACCCAAGTTCGTACTTTCAGTTCGGTTCGGTTCAAAGGTGTCTTTAACCGAGGTCCGTCCGCTTACATTGTCTCGGAATCTACCTAAAGCCATGGCCAAAACCGAGAGCCAGAGCGACTATCATGCAATTGGCAGCGACCCATTCTCCAAACTGGCTTATCTGGAACCCCGACCCCTCCTCCATCTCACACGATCCAATATGTCTGACTAACTGACTCAGCGCTTTGATTGCCAGCGGAGCGGGAAAGGAAGCAACTTTTCTTTCTGCCGCTGCCTTGGCGGTTGGCTTCCGTTTTAGCCAACCAGCCACCCACCACCATCGCCCGCTCCCTCAAAAAACTTCAACTTTGGCTTAATTTCGCGCACGAAGTAATACAAAAAGGAGAATTGGTTGGGAGGCGGTAACACGTGCGGCATCCTTAACACATTCCAACAACTGAAACTACATAATAAAACACTTGGCGCTAAGGTTAAATTCCTTTTTCGCAGTCCCTGCAGAGAAAGAAAAATATTTGGTGGACTTTTGAAGGTTTTAACATAACATTTGTCGATCGAATTTAT